CAAGCAGGGAGCTGGATGGGAAGCAGGGCCTCCGGGATTCGAACCGGCAACCATATGGGATCCTGGCGTGTACAAGGCGAGGACTCTAGCCACTAGGCCATCACACCAGGCCCTCTTCCCCATTCTTACCTCCAAATTGTAGCAAACACCCTGGTGTGGGATTCCAACAGGCAGAACAGCAATGAAACCTAACCACGATGTCCTTGGTGAAGCTGCTGTTTTTGTTCGTTCAAAGCTAATTTCATCATTTATTTTCATCTGACAATGATGTTATCGTTTGGCTAATCCTTTAGTCAGGCTCTTCTGAATCTTCTGCTCGACTAAGCCCAGTCTTTGGCTACCATCACTCTGCATACACAAAGTCCATTATAAGCAAGGATCTGGCTCAGTCATTTTGCTGGAAATCTCCTGCCTCTGGTATCTGTTCACCTCTGATATTGTATCACCCTGGCCTGTCCTTGGCAATGATCCTATCAAGTCAGTGTAGTCGGAACCCTTATCCTTGGGATTTCTCTGCTTAATTTCCCATCCATTTACTTCCCTATCCACCTGACTCTCCACCCCGACCCTGCTACCTCCAACTCCATCCTTGGTTACAAACCCTCTTGTCCTTGATGGAATGGAGGTTGAGCCCTGACTGCAGTGGTTCCTAGACCCCTCAACGTGCCCCCTTTCCCTATGTAAGGCCAGCCTTATCATCCTTAACAAGTGTCAATGTCAAGTGTTTTCTTCAAGAGATCCCTGTATTAAGGACAGAGCACAAGTGTGCAAATCTTACTATAAGTTTGTTGGAGCCTTTCTTGATGACTCAAGTGGATAATGGCCTCCTTGTTACTAAATGCAGGAGACAATTCTCAACCTCTCTTTTAGCATCTGACATCATAAATACCTTTATTTTTGGCTCCCCATCCTCTGGCGAGTCCTCTGTTATTTTTTTCTGGCAGCTTTCTCTGTTTTAAAAAAAGATTTTATTTTATGTATTCGAAAGACAGAGTCACAGAGAATCTTCCATTTGCTAGTTCGTTCCCCAAATGGTCACAATGGCTGGGGCTAGGTTGATCTGAAGCCAGGAGCTAGGAGCTTTATCCAGGTCTGCCACATAAGTGCAGGAACCCATGCCGCGTGCCATGTTCTGCTGCTTTCAAAGGCGCATTAACAGTGAGTTAGATTGGGAGGAGCCAGGACCCGAACCAACTCCCATATGGGATGCTGGTGCTGCCGGCAGTGGCTTTACCCACTATGTCACAGTGTTAGCCTGATCCTTCCTTCTTGGATTCTTTCTTTGGGCCTTCTTCCTGCATCTCATTGTAGTTATTTCCTTAGATTTCCTTAGATTTTGAGGCTTTTTCCCTCCTGCTGATTCATCTTCTTTGCTCTTGTGGCGTCTCCTGCCATCTCAAACAATTCTATGCCTTCAAATAGCATTTCATGGGTCTGTTGCATCAAAACCAGCCAGGAAGGCTTGTGTTGTAGCAGACTGGATTAAGCTGCCACTGGGGCCAATGGCATTCCAAATGAGACGCTTGGATCCAAGTCCTGCCTGCCCTGTGGATCCAGCTTTCTGCCTCTGTGTACCTTGGCAAGCAGCAAGTGGTCACTCCAGTGTTTCAGCCTGTCACCCATGAAGGAGAACCAGATGGAGTTCCTGGCTTCTGGCTTTGGCATTTAGGAAGTGAATCAGCTGATGGATGATCTCTCTATCTTTCAAATAAACAAAAATAAACTTTAGGGAAAAACACATTGTAGAAGAAAGCAACTAGGGTACTTGAAAGAAAAAAGGATTCACAGGTACTTCTCAACCTGAAAGTTCTGGAACTCAAGACTTGAAACAGAATCTGGGGAGACAATCCTACAGCTCCTATAGCTCCCCAGGGAATGCCAGGCAGAGGGCCTTGGTGAGATGTTGACATCTGCATTTACTACTTCAGTCAATCCTGATGGTTTCCTGAGCTCAGCTCCATCATTCTGCCAGACTGCCAGTCAGCTTAACAGGCGACCCACAGTCATCCCTTTCCAAGCCTGTTCAAACCTGGGGTGCTTTTTTCTTTCCTTTGCGTCTCATTCACATCACAGCACTACTTATAACCACTAGCAAGGCTAGAAATCCCATGGGCCTGTAACTTCTCCCCTTTGATTCCTGAATCAAATGGATGACTTAATCCTACTGGTGGAGTTAAGAGGTGCTCCAACCTGGGAGGGAGCCACAGGAGAAAGAGAGAGAGAGAGAGAAAGCCTTTTAGTCCAATCAAAAGGCTTTATTAGTCAGGGGATAGAGTCTGATGGAATGTTCCCTTTGGGATCAATTCCACACCAGGCTTGTGGGGGGTGGGGGGGGAAGGCGGGGGGTGGGGGGGGAGGCAGGGGGCGGGGGGCTCACACAGGACAATGACCACCTAAGGTACACGGCACTGGAGTTTCATCCATCTGACACATTGCAGGTAAGAGAAGGTAAGGTAGGAAAGCCTCACTCTGCACATGTCCTGTGCATGCGTGTGCTGTGTAGTGCGGGGTACACATCATGGCTGGTGTTGCCCTTTCGTGCACTGAGTCAGGGTCAGGGTGCTCCTGGCAGGGCATTCCAGACATTCCTGAGTGAGAGTTTCAGCTGCAGAAGGCAGGGTGGTCATCCTGGTGTCTGCTCCACCCAGCCTAGCACTCACGCCATATCATCTGAATCTGCACGGTTTCTCTTGCATCCCCTGGTAACCGGGGTGTCATAGAAGTTTGAAACTGGTCTGACATCCTGCTTTTCTTCTCTCTAATGCACTCTCCACATTGTCATAGATGTGTTGGTCCAGGGCAGCACCTTCTTCGAGAATTTTCTGTGATGACGGAAACGTTCTGTATCTACACTGTCCCCTATGGTATAGCTCCCACTACCCCATGGCTAGTAAGAAATTCAAACGTGGCTGTCGTAATCAAGCAACTGCCTCCACAGCCAACATAAGGAGCACCCCCTCGTCCATGACCTTGGACAAGTCATTTCACATCTCTTAGCCCAATTTCTCATTCTGTTAAAGTGAGAATGGTAATATTTCCCTCTGTACAGAGCTGCCGGGGAAAAGATACTAATTAAATCCCACCCCAATAGACTGCAATGGGAACAGCTGATAATTTCTGCCCTTGAAACACTTTATCATGTAGAATTAAAGGTCTTCTCTGAAAGGATTCCCTCTCCCCCTCAAGACTGGGAACTCATTAGCAACAAAGACTCCGTTTTGTTCCTCATTGGCACATCAGATTCGTTTGACAAATGCCCTGACTTTGTGGCAAATAAATCAAGAAGTGAATTGATCACACTCACATGGTGTGCCAGAAAACTTGTGGTTACAAAAAAGATACACTCCTTTTAAAACTATAGACTGATGTTTGACAAAGGAGATACAGGGACAGAGCCCTTTAACTGGTTCACTTCCCAAATGCCCTCTGTGGCTGGGATCCGGCTGCAAAAGCCGAGCCGAAGCCAGGAGCTGAGCCCAAGCGTCCGTCATGGATGGTAACGACGCAGCTCCCCGGGTCCTCCTCACTGCAGGGTCTGAAGCAGCAGCGAGCTGGACACGGGAGCCACACATCTTTCCAGCTGGGCCAAAGTTCTGCTCCCGCACCACACTCTGGTTTTGTGTTCTTATTTAGAAAGGAGTAAAAGACACATAGTTGGAGCAAGGATGAAGAAAAACAAGAGCACACGGACAGTCGTTTTTTTCAAGGCATTAAATCTTGTTTCTGCCTGGAAGAACTGGCTTACGCCTGTCCTTGAGTCTGCCGCTGTCCTGGAGCCCAAACTCTCACACTTTCCTCCCTGTGCCCCCTGCGTCCGAGGCATGCCCTGCCCTCCCCACGGGTACTAAGCTTTCATCACTGTCACCAAGGCAACGGCAGGGATGCCTCATTCTTCACAGCTCTGCATATCTAAGCTGCGCTTGCTTTTGTCCACAGAGCTGGCTGGGTTCTTTGTGTGTAGGCCATTAAATCAACTCCGTTCTGCTCAGAACTTTATGTGTTATCCTACCTTTAAAAACTCTTAACTCTGACGTACAACGTTTTTTTCCTTGGGGAATGACTTTCCTAAACCTGTCTGCACTCTTGAACTCGGAGACAGCTTCGGTCCCTTCGGAACAAACACAAAAAACTGCCTGTTTAGCCTTTGTGAGCGTGTCGCTCAGCGCGGGTCAATTTTAAAAGACGTTAACAGCCCATTCATAATGGGTTTCCCTTTTTAAAAGCACAGGAGGCCAAAAATAAACCTGACAAAGGGCAGCTGTAGAGTTTTCACATGTGGAAAACTCCACAGGCAGCGGTTATATAACGGGAAAGAAACATGATAAATATTTCACACCGTTAGATGAACTTCCAGCTCCCACACGGGAAGCAGCAAGCAACACCAAACACCCCAAAACTCTCCAAGGAGGAAAAGATGCACGCGGAGCAAGGCTGTCGCTAAAACCTGACTGCCAGCACGATTCTGGCCTGCTTTTTTTTTTTTTTTTTTTTTTTCTTCTTCAGGTCTTGAGTCCAAGAACTCCTCTCTCTCTCAGGGCAGAAATTCTTCACCATCTCCAACCCAGAGCTGAAGACCTCAAAACAAGTTTTCTGGAGAGGAGGGGAAGAAGGGAGTCGGGTCGAGGCTGGAGGAACCCCCTTCCCCCGCCCCCTCCAGCACGCCCACGCCCTCGCCCCGGGCTCCGGGCCCTGAGGACAGCTGGCCGCTCGAGCCGGACCCGACACAAAGCCGATCAATGCCCGCTGCGCGGCGCGGGGCGGGAGCAACCCGGCAGGGCTCTCCGGGCGCAGCTCGCCTCCGGCTGCCCCCTCACTAGGACCCCGCGGACACCGCATCCCTCGTCCACGCCCTCCCCTCCTTACCACCCCCTCCCCAGAACAGCCCAGACCCCCCGCTGCAAAGCTGCCAGACCTGCCCCCGGGCAGCCCGCAGGAAAGGCGCCTTCCAGGGGAAGAGGACTGGCCGGCCGCTGCAGCCCCGCCCCTCTCGCCCGCCCCGGCCTGGCCTTGCGCTCCGCCGACGCCGGGACCCCAGACCCAGGCTCGAGCAGCCGGCTGCGGCCCCGCGAAGATGGCGAGGCGGAGCCGCCACCGCCTCCTTTTGCTGCTGCTGCGCTACCTGCTGGTCGCCTTGGGCTGTAAGTTTCTTGGGGACCTTCACTCACCCGCCCTATCCTGCCGGGGCCAGAGTCCCCTAAACCTCCGTACCCCTCAACTCCCCACACCCAGAGGCTGAGCACGCGGACTGAGCAGGACGACCCTGGGCTGCGTGGATGTGCTCGGGGTTCGGACTTTGCACCCCACGCGTGGGTCGGGATCCTGGGGTGCGGACCAGTCTGGGGGCGGGAGTGACCGGAGCTCCTGGGTTTCTCGTAAATTCATATGATTTTGTCAAGTGTTCCCGCGAGAAAACTAAGCGCTCCCCCCCCGCCCCCCCGCAAACACACCAGGTGCTTATCCTTTCGCAAAGTTGGGGTAAGTTTTTGAAGGTTCAGGAACGTGAGCCGAATGCAACAACTAATTAGCGCTAAGATGCTAAGATCCCGGGAAAGATGGCATCCCTGGGAGGCAGGGGCCGGCGACTCTTCGAGCCCGGGCGCTCTCTTTTCTCCAGACCCTTGCGCACTCGTGCGCTCGGGCGGTGGGCGTGCGCGGCTGCTGAGCCGCAATTCCCTCGACCGCCTCCACCTGCGCGGCTGCGGCGCCGTGTCCGCCCGCGACCCCGGGCAGCTGCGCGGTCCTCGGGGACCGTCCCACCGGACGATGGCGAGGAGGATGCCGGCGCGGGGCGCGGGTCAGACGCTCCACGGGACGCGTTTAAGCCGGATTTTTACGGATTCTGGGCTCATGAGCCATAGAGCCGTGGGAATGTTCCCTTTTGTTTTCTTCCCGATGACTTGTTAGGAAAATGGAGGAAATTACTAGACTTTAAGCAGTGAAGCCCTGTTTTTACTTTTTCTTCGTCCTCACCCTCTCGCTTGTCAATTTCTCTTCATTCTATTTCCTTACCTGTTTTTTTTGGCTTTGGTGGGTGTTGTTTTGTTTTTGTTTATTTGTAAACTGGGTTATCCTGGCTGCGTATTCAAGTTCTTATAATTGAAATGCTTATAATACTTAAAATAACCTGCCGGATGAGAGTTTGGTACAGCAGTACAATGAGTTTTTATTCAGCCGAACGTGGGGGGTGTGTGTGTGTGTGTGAGTGAGCAGTGTCCCTTGGGAACCAGGGGTTGGACTCACGGATCACTCCGGGAAGGGACCACTCCGGGAAGGGACCACTCGGGGAAGGGACCACTCGGGGAAGGGACACGTGCTGACCTATATTGTAGGAAATCAAACAAGGTTCACAGTGAGACCCTTATGTAGTTCTTAACTGCCTGTTGGTGACCTGCTGAACATACTGAGAAAACGCACTCAGCCTAACATCAAAGAGACAAGCTGGAGGAACTGTAGCAAAACTGGGAAAGTTGTGCTTGCCACTGAAATCTGAATGTTTCAGACTTTGGCTAAGAGTCCATGGTTTCAAATGGAGAACAGCGTAAGGCTGACACCTTCCCTGGGAACCGACCAACAGGCAGACAAAGGCTCGGCTGTGTGCAGAAGCAGCCTCCTCCCCATGACTCCAGAGATGAGCTTGAAAGTACGGTGGGGTCCTTTTGTCTCATCATTCCTGGAGTGACAAAGATCTGGCATCACAACAGTATTTCCTTCCTTGTTGTTTTGTAGTGAATCTTTTTGTTATTTTACAGAAGTTTAGATATGAACAAAGTGTCGGCCCTGGCCAGCGAGCACTGTGTTGAGGCTCCCTCCATTCTTATCTCTCCTGCTCCGGGCTGCAGGGTCCCCTCAGGCGCAGGACACTGCACTTCCTAGTCTTGCTTCCCTAAGCTCCTCTTGGCCCCAGGGTGATTTGTCAGACTTCCGATGACGTTTTTGCTACTTTAACAGTTTAATCAGTACTGCTCCGGAGTTTTCTAGAATATCCCCTCCACAGGTATATTTCTGCTGTTTGTTTCCTTTATCGGTTTTGAGTTTTTTGGAAGAAGGTCGTAGAGGTGACGTGTCATCTCCATCACACTCCATTACATCTCCAGGGCACAGACTGTAATCATGACATGTCATGGTTGAAATGATTTTTTAAAATTATTTTTACTTTAGAGAGTTATAGAGAGAAGGAGAGAAGAGAGAGAGATCTTCCATCCACTGCTTCACTCCCCAAATATTCACAGTGGCCAGAGCTGCACTGGTTTGAAGCCAGGAATCAGAAGGTTTTTTTATGCGACTCCTTCATGGGTACAGCGGCCCAACGCTTGAGCCATCCTCCACTGCTTTCCAGGGCGTTAGCAAAGGAGCTGAAAGTAGAGTAGCTGGGGCTTGAACCAGCACCTGTAGAGGATGGTGGCACTGCAGTGAGGAGAATTCTTCGCTATTCCACCGTGCTGACCCCTCCAGTGGATCTTAATCCCCTGCTGATCAAAGCTGTATGGGAGAGGTTTCTCCGCAGGTTTTCTGCCCTGCCTTTTTTGTTTCCGTGGGATTCCCTGGAAGGAATCCACTGTGTGTAGCCTGTGCTTCAGGAAGAGACATGCGCCCCACCAACAGGACTTGCAGTCAAGCTTGAATCTGTCCACTTGACACTCGACCTTCACGCAAACCAGTGGGAGCTGCAGCCTAGTTAGGGCAAATCCCCATAAGTCCCACCAGGCCTGCCCCTACCCTGGTTCCTGTGCTTGCCAGTATGTACCACAGGCTTGTTCAGTCTGTCCCACATCCCATTTAGCTCTTATACATGTCGCTGAGCACTGAAGCCTAGCTCAACCTAACCAGCCCTACTATCCAGCCCACACACATGCTGGCGGGTGCCGTTCTGTCTGCCTGCCCTGTCCTGGTTTTCATGCTCTCTAGTGGTAGTGGCAATGCAAGAGGGAAGTGCCCACTATTTCCCTACTGGGCCACTCCCAGATTATGCCCTCTCTAGGTGGTTCTGCAGTTGAGCTTGACAAGCAAGTGCTTGCTTGGCTCTTGCACCCACCTGGAAATCTTGGAAGAATCTGCGAGATGTCCCATGGGAGTAGCCATGTGCAGAGTGAACCAGCACATGGAAGATATCTGTCTGCTTGTCTCGCTCTGTAACTCTGCTTTTCAAATGAAAAAATCTTCAAAAAAGTAGTTCAAGTAATTGTTACTTCAAAGAAGTTTGTAACATAAAAACAGCATAGTGAAACCTGATTCCAAGCACTTTTATGGGGAATGGATATCCTAAGCCACAGCTTAACCCCAGACAACCCACTTCTACATACTCATCTTTTAACTATTTCTCCCAAACAGAACTGCTGCTCTTATCCGAGTCCTGCCATGTGTAACATCAAGGTTACATCATTCTGCTGTTTCTGCTCTTAATATTCTTTGTGCTCCGTAGTAGTCTGCAGGATTGCTTATTCTTATTTCCACACTGGTTTCGGTGCTTCTGTTGAGAAGTGGACACTTACTTTTAGTCAATCTGACGTAATTGGATTATATTTTTGCTTCCCCGCTCTGTACAGGAAGGAATCTCTTGATGTTTGTCCACCACTGTTGCCCACTGCTGAACAAAATGCCTGGTTAATAGTACATGTAAATATATAGCTATTGATTGAATGGCTGCTAGACCAAGGTACCATAAGGTGGTTTTTGAGCAGTTCTGGAGGCAGAGTCTTAGAGCACAACACTGCTCGCAGTGCGGTGTCTGCTAAGGGCCCTCTTCTTGCTGTTAGTGCCTCTGCTGGATGTCTTCACGTGGTGACTCTGGGACCTTGCAGCAGCATCCACTCTCAGGGCTGTGCTGTCATGACCCGGATATCCCCTCTAATTGCATCCTAACATACCCCACATCACCTGGGCGACCAGCTTTCCACACAGAGGAGGGGAGTGGGCACTCAGAGCTTAGAGGATGGGATGAATGGTATCATAAATATGCAAATGGCCCTCAGTAGAGGAAAGGATTTTTGTCTCTGGATTGTAAAGGAATATATGTATAGGTCCCCGTTGCAGCATGGGGACATCTTGGCAGGAGTCCTCCTTTTCCTGACACAGCAGTCAAAGTGAGGATGTGTATAGCGTGTGTACTCAGTGTGGGGCCTAGAATATTCCAGATCCTATGGAGAAATCATACATTTTATACTATAAATGATACTAAGATCTGTAATTATTTTAAGCAAAACATAGTTTTAAGAATTTATGTGAAAGGCAGAGTTGGAGAAGCAAAGTGAAGCCTTCCATCTGCTGGTTCACCGCTCCCCCCTCGCCCCTTGCCCCCCAAATAGCTACAATGGCCAGGGCAGAGGCAGAAGCCTTTTCCGCGTCCCCCACATTGCACCATTTTCTGCCGCTTTCCCAGGTTTGTTAGCAGGGGGTTGGATCCGAAGAAGAGCAGCTGGGAGCCCACTCAGTGTTCAGATGGGGAACTGCAGCTAACGCGGTATGTCACAGGCCCCGAGATCCGTGACATTTCCAACTGCATATTCATATGGAGGACATGGATGCTGATGCTGAGACCTGTGTTCACTTACTGGCTGTGTCAGCTTGTACAGGCGTGGCAGTGTGTGTGAATTTCAGGATGCTCATGTGTAATAGTGATAAGAATTAGGTTTAGGGAGAGTTGAGTAGGTTGACACGTATAGCACACGCAGAAGACTGGAGAAGCCCTGTGCAATTTTTAAATACAGAATTTCAGCCACATTTGCATTTCAAAGGAAACGCTTTGGATGGAATCTAGATTGTGGGTAGAGGGGATGGCTTGGAGAGGGGGGGTTGGCAGTTAAGTGAGGAGAGCAGTAGCTGCCGTTGGAGTGACCCAGGCAATTACTTGTAGAAGCGCTTCTGTCCTTTGACTTATTGAAACATGCCTACACCCACAGACAATGGTTTTATATTAGAAATGCTGTTAATTAAATCTAATCAGTGGTGTGGAAAGATTGCCCTTTGCCCTACATCCGGGACCTGGGGAAGGTGGGAAATTGGGTGGGCCCTTCTCCCTTAATACCCCCCCTTTAAACATGAAGGAAACAATATAGAAAAAATAATAGTCTTACCCACTTTCCTGTAGTCCTTGAAACTTTTTACCCTAATTAACTATGTAAAGACTGTCAAAATAAAAAAA